GATAGCCCGATCTACCTAATTTCCCAAGTGTGCTTATCCTCCCCAACTAGTCCCACGCGTAACTGGCACTCCAGCCTTCATCAGTGAACCCAAGGTCAGCCTGACTGCCAGCCTGCTCCAACCCAAACTCCCGCGGGATGGAGTCACATTTGTGGAAAGATAGACTTACCCTAGGTTCCATTCTTGCATTTAGACGGACCACTAGAAAGCCAAATACCCGTGCTATGTCATTCTCCTCCCTCGCAGAATTCCTTCCATTAAGTTGCATTTAGATATTTTGCTGCCGACATTTAGCAAAAATCTTTTGTGAAACAGTTAAATGAAACTCTTACAGCCTCTGCTGTAGGAAAAAAAATCGGATGATATTGTCCACTGGATCACCTAGCCCCCATAGGAAAAACCCCATAAAAAACTTCCTTTTTTTTTTTAAGCTCAAATAAATTTTACTTATCTTGAGGAAATAGTATGTTTTGTCATTTCTGAGCATAAAATTTTTGTCCTATCTTTCCGTTTTCCTATCTCCCTCTCACTTTTTTAAGATTTTATTTATTTATTTGACAGAGAGAGAGATCACAAGTAGGCAGAGAGGCAGGCAGAGAGAGAGAGAGGGAAACAGACTCCCTGCTGAGCAGAGAGCCCGATGTGGGCCTCGATCCCAGGACCCTGAGATCATGACCTGAGCCGAAGGCAGAGGCTTTAACCAACTGAGCCACCCAGGCACCCTCCCTCTCACTTTTTAAAGCTTCTAGGAAGCTCAGAGTCAAACTTGAAATTGAAGGTATGGGCCTTTTTATTCTACACAAGGGGCTGCAAAACTTTTGTCATCTCACAATCACCTTATGGAAAATTTTAAGGACAATCCCTTGGTAGATGTATATTTATTTCCTTATTTATAAATTATATGCATGTATCTGATTATATAGTATTACCTGATTTTTTTTAAAAATGTTTTATATGACCTGATATTTTAAAGCACAATACACACAGGGGCCAAAGTACATTGTTAATGCCTAAGGATATAAATCCATATTTCAAAGTGTCTTCTAATGATTTTGAAATTGCCTTATCCTCTTCTGGAAGAGGAGGCTAACTTGAGCCCTGACGAGACTGGACTGTCATTATATTGACAGTTAACGAGGTCGACAAAGAGCTTGGCCAGCCACTAGGAGAAGCATCAGCTGGGCTATTTTCTTCTTGGCTTGAAGGTGATACTAGCAGGACAGGCCAACCCAGCAGTTTCTTTGCAGGAATATTTTTAAGTTACTCTCCTCTTTCAGTGACTTAACTTAAACACGGGTAATTTAAACCAGAATCCATATGCACGGCACGATGCCACAGTCTTTCAGAAGCAACCCGGCCAGTGAGGGGGCTCTGCGGCCTCTGGGGGTGGGACGTGTGCCCATAACGTGCCTCAGGACACTTTCCAGAAGCGCCATGGGTCGGCCGAGGGACCCACATGATGTGCGCATGTTAGCTATTACTAAACCTTAAAGCTTCTCATTTTAAGATGAAAAATGTCTCTAACCGAACATTCTAATGTGTGTTCTTTCAGTTGCACAATTGATCTGATGCACCCTGATAGACCCCTCTGGAATCGGGTCTATCTCTCCCCTCCATCCCATTTTCTCTTATCCTGGTCCTGACCTCCTACTCATGTGTTTTCCTCTCAATCACTCTATTTTTATTTCTACTAACCATTATTTCTGGTCCCTTAAATTCTTTATGGAACTAGAGTGTGCCTTCCTACATGTCATGAACAAGATGGCTACAAGGAATGGTGCGAGAACATTTCTCAATGTCCATTCTGTTACTTTAGCTAATCATGCATTGGGGAATCTACAGATTTGGAAATAACCTTTGGATTCTTCCATATACCTATGTCTCCAGACATTTCAAGGTCATGGTCTGCTGGCATTCACTATTAATTAAAATGGAAATACTTAGATTTTGACAAGACATTAAGTATTTACCAATCAGAATTAGTTTTGGTGACAGAAATCCTCAGAAAACAGTGACTTTATATTTTAAAAAAAAGATTTTATTTATTTATTTGAGAGAGAGAGAGAATGCTTCCACAAGCAGGAGGAGGGATAGAGGAAGAAAGAGAAGCAGACTCCTCTCTGAGTAGGGAGCCTGATTCGGGGCTCGATCCTAGTACCCTGGGATCATGACCTAAGCCAAAGGCAGCCAACTGAGCCACCCAGGAGCCCCCAAAAACAGTAACTTTAAACACTAGGTTTTTGTGTGCCTGGGTGGTTCAGTTGGTTGAATGATTGCCTTCTGCTCAGGTCATGATCCCAGAGTCCTGGGATTGAGCCCTGCATTCGGGGAGGGGGTCCCAGCTCTGCTGGGAGTCCACTCTCTCTTTGATCGCTCCCTCTCATGCACTCTCTCACACTCTCTCTCTCTCAAATAAATAAATAAAATCTTAAAAAAAAAAAAAAAGACTAATCTTTTAAAACAAACAAACACCACGTTTGATTCTTTCCTCTAAAAGAAGTCTAGAGGGAGGTTCTAGAGTCTGGAAGTCCAGAGGCAGCTCCACGAAATTCTCTGGGACTCGGCCACCTTCAGTCACTCCCAGGAGAGGTCTTCGTCTCTGTGATCTGCAGCACCATGTCCATTCTCCAGGCTGATGGTACAGGACACTGTGGAGGGGTGGCCTCCCTTAGGCACACACAGCAAAGGTCTCCATGTCATTCCCCCCCCCACCACCTTTCCTGGGGGCATTAAATGTCTGGGAATATGGAGCTTGGGAGTACAACAAGCAGCCTTTGCCACAATCCGCTTTAAAATTTGCAAATTTCATTAGCAAAGCAGGATTCAGAATTAGCACTGCATTCAGGAGAATTGTCATTCTAGACCATCAACTTGTAACTAATTCTGGTCTTTTTTTTTTTTTCCCCATTCAAAGACCCATTATCAATTACCACTCAGAGGTAAGAATCATCCCAGGAATACATTGTCCTTTGTAGAAGCCCTGGAAAATATCTCTGTGAATGTGTAGTTAATACAGTCCTCCCAAAAGGCAAACATTTTCTGCCTAATAGAAACCACAATAGGGGTCGTCCTAAGACACGGTTGTACATCGGGTTTTACAAACCTGATCCTCCTTCAAACGCATTAGGAGAGTTAAGTACTTAATGAAACTTGCAGTGAATTTGGATGGGAGAGATTTCCACCTTATGTGAATAATCTGCCTCCAGATTTGAAAGACTCACTTATCAGACTTTCCTGAGTTTAACGCAAGCTCGCTGGTGATGGTGGCAGATTACGACAGGCCTCTGAAACAAACCCCAAATGCTAACATCCTCATGGGCCTCAGCTCCTTCCGGAAGTTTCAGCCACCTCCCTGTGACTCAGAGAGAGATGCTGGGAGAGGTGGTCCCCACGATTTTGCTGCTTTCCCATGGAATTGACTTCAACAGCCAGAGCTGGGGGCAGACGCTGAGCACCGGTCTTCTGTTGCTGACCACAAGGCAGGGACAGAATTCATTGTGCAACAGCGCACATTTCTCATCTTTCAGATGCCAAATGCTCAAAGTATAAAAATACCTCCACGGGTCACTCACCAGAATAACACAGGCAGTGTTCCATTCATGAGCTCACACTGCGTCAGTGACATCACCCTCTAACCAGGAGGGCTCGGGCGCTTTGTAACGAATCCACCAGAAACCCGAAAACAGGTAGGTTCTCCTTCCCTGGGCCTCACCGCCCCCACCGAACCAGGGGTGCTTGTTTGCTCGAGTTGACAGAAAAAGTCCAGGAATCTGCATAGCTCCGTCGAGCCGGAGTAAAACATGGTGGGGACGGCGGCTGAATTTAACTGTAGCTTATGAGTAATGAAATTGCCACAGCAAAAGGTGTGGTTTCCAGAAAGCTGGACACCCCATGAGAGCCTTCACTCACACACCAACATTACCTCCAAGTGCGTGGGGTGGGGGAGGGGAAGAAACCTCTTCCTCTGTTTTATGTTTTTGCTCCTCTCTGAATTTTAAGTGAAAAGGGAGAAACATAAAATCAGGAGCCTGCCTATCCCCTGAGACATTTAAATTGAAGCCGCGCCAAGCCCTACCCAGGCAACAATTTCACCCTGGCAGGAAAGTGGACTAAGTGACTTAATGGGTATTTTCCATCTCTAATTTCCATGATTAAAAGAAAGAGGTTGAGAGGGGTACATGTGGAGCCTATTGCGAGTTTGCCAATGAATCCTAATTTAGATCAAAGAGAGTCTATGTGACATTGAACCATAAACACCCTAGTGTGCGTTACTTCAAGGAAGTTGTTAGTGTGTCCCTGGTGGCTATTATGTGATATAGTTGCACTCTAGAACATGCACCCTTTAATTACTAATAGGGAAGAAAATCCCATATGAGCAGGAGGAATGTAAATGAGACCTCTGCTCTTTTGAACATTTTATGCATTTGCCAAATTAAAATTTGCTGTGGACTTGGGTTTTCCTGGATCACTGTTGGTAGTGATCATTTGGCTCATGGGATTAATCCGAATTTCCAAAAAACAATTTCTGATCAGTCCGCAGATTTCAGATCTTCCTGCATGCTTTGCACTGAGACGGGGATCATCAGAACCAGACTGGGAACAATTTCTTTGAGGTTTTCAAAGGTAGGGAAGAAATCCTCTTTTGTTCTCATCTTTCCCCAAGCCGAGCGTTGCTTAGTGCAGGTGGAGGGGTATATGAGAGAGAGGCTTGGGGAGGCCAGAGTCTCAGGATCATCCCACATTGGTGCACTGCCCCTAACATGGGCCTGTAGGTCTTGCGTAGAGAGGATCGTGCTTTAGGGACATGGGTCTGATCACTGCGCATGACCACCTTTGTCGACGCAGGGTTTGCTCACACCAAGATTTCAAGATCAGTACAACCACAAACGTGAACTTGAATAGCACGATTTTAATGGTATTGCCTTCTCTCAGCTTCTTCTCCCCTTAGCCTCTGTGTGCAAAAGAAGGATTGATAACAACTTTGCACTTAAATTAAAAGGGAAATGTAGGACCACTCCTTGTACAAAAGCAAAGACATTCATTAGGCAGAATGATGACCCAAGATACGAACCATTCGGGAGATTTGCTATGCCCAACACTGTATCTTGTTCAGAAAAGCAAACTCCTTCTTTGCCATCTGTCTCATGCTACAAAGAGATAATAATAATAAAATCATTGCTTAATGAGTAAACTAAGTAGAGGATAATTCTCTGGTAGATCATACCGGTGTTCTTCTCCAAAGGATGCCATATTCTCAATGAGGCAGAGAACACAGGGGAGAGTGCGTGATCGCGCACAAACGGGATGCCTAAAATCAAAAACCAATGCAGCATATGTCAGTATTTAATGCCCCATCAAAGAAACATTCAACTTTTCAGCTGTAACCCAAATACAAATTTTCCTTACCCTGTCAATTAGCAGATTACAAAACTTCTGTAGCAGGAAGACCATTCTGCCAGCAAAGCCACAGTGTTTGGAATGGGTCCAGGTCAGACAGATGGCGTGGAAAAGGGGTGCGATGAGACGTCCCCGATCGGCACAGTCGACTGCTCTTCCAGGCGGCAAACGTAACCTTTGTAGGGCGGAGCCATAAGGTGAAGTGTGTCTCCCGCACAGCCGGAGAAGCATACTAGCGGCAGGAATCACCCAAGTAGTCAGTGACAAGCACAACAACCAGCTGGGGCAGAGGAAGCATCTAGAGAAGAAAAATACACAAACTATTAAATAAATGGAAACCTTGTTCTTTGGCACCTAGAAAGTGCCCTCCCCTTCCCCCCCCCCCCATCGTAAGCCAATGGGCAGAAAAAGCAGAGCTCTGTCTTCTCCAAGATGTGATTGTTAAATTAGGGTGATGAAGAGTTCTTGCTGTCTTTGGAATGCTAAATATACTACAAACAATCAAATGATGTAACCAGGAGGGAAAGACAAAGGATATTTGCTATAACGTTACTCAATGCCATCTGTACCCTGCACAGCCGATTTGCAGAATTGGCTCCCTTAAAACAGCACCTATCCAGCTGTGCAGAAAGGCTTAGTTCAGAAGTCGATGACTAATAAAGTGATTATGCATAGTAGTAACAGTAAGAGCCCACTGAATTTCAGAAGTGGGTGCTACAATGCAAACACTCATTGATGATTCTTTTTAGAAATTTAAGAATTTAAATTCCCTTCCATTAAGATCAAAGTAGCAAAGCTACTTCGTTAATTTAAATTATTTTTAGGTCAGTAAAAGCGTCTCTGTCACCGTCTCTTTAATGGCAACCGGCCGTTATAAGCACCATCAGTGCCCCTAAGCGAGGAAACAACCCTGCAAAGTGGAAGGATTCTCAGCGAGTCAGTGGTAAGAAGTTAGCGACCCAAAAAAGGAACCTGGTTATCCCCTGGCAGGAGCTGAAAGTTCTGCTATTCCAATACCTGGGGTCTGGCTTGGAAGCCGGGGTCTCTGCTCTTCTATGGTGCTCCCACGGAGGGACTTACTTGTTGCAAGTTCCAGTCAAACTTTGGTCTGCAAATAGAGACGCACCAGGTGATGAAGTGCAGATCAATCGGCCCAATGCAAAAGAGCCGTTGGATGGATGTTCCTAATTTCGATTTCAGCTAGTTCCAGGGCTTTGCTAGAAAACGCTTCCCCATGAAGCGATTTGCGCCCAAACACAAGCTGGAGTTTTACTTTTAGGCAGTCCTTCCTGACGGTGTTTCTGCGTGACCAGGAACCTGCCAAGAGACAGAAGCCACCCATGGAAGGTGGTTGTGGCACTTTTGATGCACACAGTGTCCTGCCTCCACCACATCCTGATTCTTTTCCTTCTGCTATTTTTGCCCACTCGCTTATAGAGGCTCAGGTCTCTAGGTGGCAATAGCGTAGATAGGAAAACACGGAGGTCATTATCCTGAGGATGCTCGGCTAAATTCTTATCAGCTGCATTAGCAAGAGCAGACTCTGTCTTCATACAGAGGCCGGGTTTTCTTGGGCGTGAACTTGTTGGAACAAAATGGGAGAAAACTCACATGTCATGCCCTGTCTACAGTCGCCCCTGATTAGAGGGAATATACTGGCAACACAGTGGATGCCATAGAGATTTCAGAACCAAAGCAAGGTAGGCCTGCCAAGCTTGGCATAAAATTTTATGACTAGCACCACTGTTTTACTTCAGAACAACTGTAAGAAAGATGATCCAGGGGTGCCTGGGTGGCTCAGAGGGTTGAGCCTCTGCCTTCAGCTCAGGTCATGATCCCAGTGTCCTGGGATCGAGCCCCACATGGGCTCTCTGCTCAGCAGGGAGCCTGCTTCCCCCCTCTCTCTCTGCCTGCCTCTCTGCCTACTTGTGATCTCTCTCTCTCTCTCTGTCATATAAATAAATAAAATCTTTAAAAAAAAATGAAAGATGATCCAATGATTCAAACAAACAAACAAAAAAAAGCAACTTGGACATCAGTTTAAAGTTTTCTTTTTTCCTTTTTTTTTTTTTTTTGAAGATTTTATTCATTTATTTGACAGAGACATAGCAAGAGCAGGAACACAAGCAGGGGGAGTAAGAGAGGGAGAAGCAGGCTCCCCACCAAGCAGGGAGCCCTATGTGGGTCTCAATCCCAGCACCCTGGGATCATGACCTGAGCCGAAGGCAGACACTTAATGACTGAGCCTACCAGGCACCCCGTTTGAAGTTTTCAACCCAGGTCCCTGCCCTATATCCACCCCCTGTGAAGAGAAGGGGGGAGAAAACACAAAAGCCCCATAGAAGTAACAATTGCCTATTTTAATGTTGGCAGCATACAAATGACAATTACGCTGTTAATTGATAGTTATTTCAATGAGTTGTCATCCATGTAGATTGTTCAGATTAGCAATGTTGTTTTTGCACTGTGACTAAGCCACGGGGTAGCTGCATAAAAACTTGTATTCTAGGGTAGGGACAGTCTAACAACTCAGAAGAGAAAAAGGGCCAAGCTCCTTTAAAGAGACAGTTGACTTTTAGAGAGAGGCTGGGAGATAGGCTTGTTAAAATGTGATTTTTAACAGCATGTTCCATTAATGAAGTGCAATGTTTCATTAAAGAAGTTTCTATGCAAATGAAGTATAAATAAGACAAAAGGCAGTAAAAGAGGGAGAACCTGGCTACCAAGCTCACCGAGGAAAATGTCAGCGCAGCCTAGAACGAGGCTAACAGCCCCACATTTGTCCCTGGAACGCTGGCTCTCTCTCTCTCAAACTCAGGACAACCGCTGGTTTCTTTTCAGAGCTGGATACCAGAGCAAGTAACACCCGAAGAGGCCCGGCCTGAAGGAAAGACTTAGAACAAATTCACAGCCCAAGATTAAAGGGCAGTCATTAACCCTGTACCTTTAAAACAAAACAAAAGGAAACAAAACAAACAAAAGAACTCTCCATCTTACTTATAAGTTTCCTGTGGCTTTCCGATTTTGCAAAAACAGATTGAATTTTGAAGTTTTTCTACTGTCTAGAAGCTTTAAGTTATAGCTGTTGAAAAGGAACATAAAAGAGTGATCTCGAAATCTGCAGGCAGCAGGTCCAGAGGGCTCGACTGGCCCCTCCTATCTCATGGGGCGTCCTTGTGGCAGCCTCTCAGGTCCTGGGTAGAGCAGCCTGTTGGAAGCAAGCAGAATCTCGAGGCCATGTCATGGAATTTCTGCATGAAATTGGACAAAAAGCATCACGTTAATCAAGTTTCTCTCGCTTCTTCTTAAATTAGGTCAAACCAACAAGCCTGGTGATAATTCTTACTAAACTAGAGCAATATTCCTGTTCATATCAACTGTACATAATTAAAAACAAAAACAAAAAGCCCTCAGCTTTTGACAGGCATTTGCATGTCTGCAGGGTGCCTACACTCCACCCCCCACCCCTGATACCCTGCAGCATTGACATCACTGCACTACTGTCCCACTTGAGGAAGCAGCAGACATTGGTGGTTTTAATCAATGTGGATAACAGATAACTTCTGATAACGGGACTCTAATTTTCTGGGAACCACCCCTCACCCACACTCACACTCACGGTTTAGATGGACAGTCACCCCCGCCCACGCTCAGGAGTGGCCACGTAGCTCAGGCCAGACTCGTCAGGTCATTCCATTCCTTGTAAATGGGTCAAGGCTGAGCATAGAACCGGCCTAGTAAGAACCCGTCCTAGAACTTCTGGAAACTCCTAGGAAAGAGAAAGAAGCAGTTCGGTGACAACTTCCTATTTTTATGCCAGGCTTGAGGAAATAGGCAAATATATTGTAGATAAATGAGAGCCAGTTTTCTCGCTGTCAGAGAAAAATGTTAAAAGTATCAGGAGAGAAGGGAGTCTAAATGAACCCCAAGATTTTGGGTTGAAATTGGAGGTACTGGTAGAAATTCGTGGTTTTTAAATATGTACCCAAAGGGGTGGATGGATTTCTGATATAGTAGGAGATAAATATATGAGTGTGTATGCATGCATTGGCCTATTTCCTAGCTTGGTCTTCTGAGACAACATCCCCGGGGTGATACGTACACCTAAGCACCCAGATCTTGGGTTGCAAATACCATTCTCCAATAAAAGGAACCAGGGCTTCCGGGAGACATGATCGATTCCAGGACTACGATAGAGAAAACAAAATATGAGTCTGTAACATCTCAAGGTGCCAGAAAGTAGGGAAGTGCTCCAAAATAATGAGGGAGGCCTATCAAAGGACTTGAAAAGGCTTCCAATATCCAAAGAGGAACAATTTGAATGACAAAATAAATAATGAGAGTATTGGATTGTAATGAGTATCCGTGAGTCCAAAATGATACCAATACATAATTGAATAAGTCGATGGAGAAGGACAGCTCTTTTTACAGAAAAATTTCAATGAATAAATATAGATGGAATGAAGCAACTAGGAAATTACTATTAGAATAATATAATCATACTCATTGCAGGCAAGATCAACTGATGATTTCTAAAATTAGTGGGCAAAGGTTTGAGGAAAAATAAGGTATTCATATAGCCTCAAAGTATCTCCCCCAAGATTTTTATTAAATACGAAGGGAGATATTGTGAATTTTTCACTGAAGAAACGTAAATGACACCATGTTAGATTAACATCGCCAGGATTATGACACCATGACCTCGTGTACCCACAATGCAACGGACTGAGAAGAGCCTATCATTTCTGAAATATTCTTAACACAAATGCATCATCTCATTCTAATCAGAGGAAAACATCACACAGACTCAAGCGGAGTGATGTTTTACAAAATAACCAGTCAGTACTCTTTAAAAGTATCAAGGTCATGAGACACAAAAATGGTTGAGGAGATGTCCCAGAATGGAGGAGCCTAAGGAGATGGGACATGGAAATAAGATGTGAGATCCCCAGTTGGATGCTGAAGCAGATTTTCCAGGAAAAACTAGCAAAACTCAAAGTCTTTATGCCGGATCAGTGTTCAGTTCTTAGTTTCGATCCCTGTACTTCTGTCACATAAGAAGTTAGCATTAGTGGAAGCTGGATAAAGGGTATTTGAGAACTTTCTGAATGGTTTTTGAAACTCCTCCACAAGTTTAAGATCATTTCAAAAGAGTTTTTGTGCTATTTTGTACAGCATGGGGACTATAGTTAACGACACTGTATTGCCTACTTGAATGTTGCTAAGAGAGTAGATCTTGAAAGATCTCATCACGAGAAAAAACATTTGTAACTATAAATAGTGACAAAAGTTAACTACACTTAAGGTGATGGTCATTGTGCAAATATACAAATATCAAATCATTACATTGTACACCTGACATGAATATGTTATATGCCAATTATATATCAGTTAAATTTTTCAAAAATTAAAATAAATTTTTAAAAGTTTTAAAATTTTTTTTTAATTAACAAGTTTTTGTTGTTGTTGTTGTTTAAATACAATGAGTCAAGAGTCGTTGAAGATTACAGGGCAATGGGGCAGGAGGCAAGAGCAGCCAGGTCCTGGAGATAGGAGCTCCTGGACAAAACTATGACTGAAGCTAATTTACTCTGGGACTTTTTTGGTTGTTCCTGGACAAAGATGCAAATAAATTGACTCTACCAAACAATACATTTAAATAAGTGCAGCAAATGTCCAGGCCATTGAGAAGAAAGAAGAAAAACCCAGAGCAAGGAAAGAAGATAACAGTTGCATTCTACCAAATGTTAAAATAGTATCATTAGTATTAAAAAAAAAAAAATGTTTGCAAGTATGCTTCTCCAGTTTGCCCCCACAGTTGCCCTGAACACCACGTCAGGATATCAGCTGAATTCATGTTTTATCTAGCGATACTACCTAGTAGTGTGCCTGAGGAAGTCAAGAAAACTCAACTCTAAAGCATCTTCCCATCAGCCATGCCTTAGTTCATGAAATTCACAGCATCCATCTCCTTTGGGGTTAAGGCCCTGAAGATCTCTTCTAAAATGTAAATCCTGTGGCACATCTATAAAGACTCATCCAGGTTCTATCTGGAAGAATAATACATTATCAATGAT